AAATCCATTACTGCGGGTTCTCTCTTGGAGAGATATCCGCAAGACCTTGTTAATATCCCCTTTATTAATACCTATCTTCCACTTATACACTTCGATCAGGTCTCCCCTCATTCTTCGTCTAACAAGTGAATGTAACTTAAGAGTCTTCAATCTTTCTTCATAAGGAAGATTTCTAATGCTATGTATTAATTTAGTCATCCTACGCTGAATGTTTTCTAACGAATTTATGTCCATTCTGTAATATGGAGATCAGAATTGAGCTGCATAATCTAGGTGAGGCCTTACTAATGATGTATAAAGCTGCAGTATGACCTCTGGACTTCTGTTGCTTACACTTCTTGATATAAATCCCAGTAATCTATTTGCCTTATTACGTACGCTTAGGCATTGCTGTCTTGGTTTAAGGTTGCTGCTTGATAAATTAGACACATGTGCAACTCTTGGGTATCTTTATTGAGGAAACGTTTCGCCACACAGTGGCTTCATCAGACCATACAAAGGAGAATCTTGAAGAACAGGAGGAGAATGAGGTAATCAGTCCCTCAACCTTGAGTCGATGTGGTCAGTCCATCAATCTTGAATAGAATACGGCATACGTGCTGAGAAGGAGCTTATAGACCGTTGGCAGGAGAGGTGAAGCAGTCATAGGTCGTGTTCTCTGAACCATTCATCTACAAACCTGTCAGACACTGCAACTTCTTGGGATCTTAATAGTTGGGAATTCTTCGCTTGCCTAATTCTTGGGCACAACCTACTTCAACATTGAACAAATGTTACACGACCTATGACTGCTTCACCTCTCCTGCCAACGGTTTATAAGCTCCTTCTCAGCACGTATGCCGTATTCTATTCAAGATTGATGGACTGACCACATCGACTCAAGGTTGAGGGACTGATTACCTCATTCTCCTCCTGTTCTTCAAGATTCTCCTTTGTATGGACTGATGAAGCCACTGTGTGGCGAAACGTTTCCTCAATAAAGATGCCCAAGAGTTGCACATGTGTCTAATTTATCAACATGTCGGTTCTCTGAACCATTCATCTACAAAGGTTGCTGCTTACCATAACCCCCAAGTCCTTTTCGCCATCTGTATGGCTAAGTTCTACATTATTTAACTTATAGACACTTATGGACACTCCCGAGCTTCAGAACCTTGCATTTATCTACATTGAACTGCATCTGCCACTTTTCTGACCAAGAGTAGAGTTTGTCTAAATCCTCCTGAAGTTCCCTAACATCTACGTTTGAATCAATTATCCTACCTATCTTCGTGTCATCGGCGAATTTACTCATATCACTAGCAATTCCTTCATCAAGATCATTGATATATATTATAAACAACAACGGGCCCAAGACTGATCCCTGTGGAACGCCACTTGTTACTGATCCCCACTCGGATTTAACCCCATTTATGGACACTCTCTGCTTCCTGTCTGTGAGCCATGATTCGATCCACGAGAGCACCCTTCCCCCAATGCCATGAGCTGCTACTTTCTTCAACAGTCTTTGGTGCGGAACTCTATCAAATGCCTTACTAAAATCTAAGTAAACAATATCAAATTCTTTATCGTGGTCAACAGCCTCAAAAGCTTTACTGAAGAAAGTTAATAAATTAGTTAGACAAGACCGGCCTCTTGTGAATCCATGCTGAGTATCATTAATCAAGCTATGCTTATCGAGATGGCTTCTTATAATCTCAGCTATAATTGACTCTAGTAATTTGCCTACAATTGAGGTCAGGCTTATTGGGCGGTAATTAGACGGTAACGACTTGTCCCCTGTTTTAAAAATAGGAATTACATTAGCCATCTTCCACATATCAGACGCTACACCTGTTTGAAGAGATAAATTAAAAATATTAATTAATGGTTCACAGACTTCCATTTTGCATTCCTTAAGAACCCTTGAAAAAACCTCATCAGGACCCGGTGACTTATTTTGCTTCAGTCGGTCTATCTGCTTCACAACCATTTCACTAGTGACTGTGATGTTACATAATTTATCTTCTTCTGATCCACTATAAAAATTAATTACCGGAATATTATTAGTGTCTTCCTGTGTAAAAACCGAGAGAGAAAATAATTATTTAAAATCGAGCACATTTCATTCTCTTTGTCAGTAAGATGCCCATAGTTATTTTTAAGGGGACCTATCTTATCTCTGACTTTTGTTCTATATACCTGGAAAAAACTTTTTGGGTTAGTTTTAGAATCCCTAGCAACTTTAATTTCATAGTCCCTTTTAGCTTTTCTTATCCCCTTTTTAATGTCCCTCTTAATGTCAATATACTGATTCATAAGATGACTCTCACCTCTTTTGATACGCCTATAAATTCCTTTCTTATGCCCCAGTAGATATTTCAGCCTATTATTCATCCATTTTGGGTCATTTCTATTTGATCTAATTTCTTTATAAGGGATAAACGTTCTTTGAGCAGCATGTATGGTGTCCAGAAAGCTGTCATATTGATAGATCTCTTCGTTACCCCAGTCAACAGATAAGTGTTCTCTAAGCCCATCGTAATCTGCTAAGCGAAAATCTGGGACCGTTACTGAGTTATCCCTACTATCATACTTCCATTCAATACTAAATGTAATTGATTTGTGGTCGCTAGCACCCAGTTCCTCTGAAACTTCTAAATTATTAACAAGGGATTCATTGTTTGCCAGAACTAAGTCAAGCAGGTTATTACCCCTTGTAGGTTCTGTCACAAACTGCTTCAAAAACAATCCTGAACTACTTCTAAGAAGTCGTATGAATCTAAATTCCCAGTCAAGAAATTCCAATCAATATGACTAAAGTTAAAGTCTCCTAGAATTACTACATTATTGTGCCTTGTGTCCCTAACAATTTCCTCCCATAGTAGTCTCCCCTGATCCCTATCTAAATTTGGGGGACGGTATATCACACCTAAAATTAATTTTTCATGCCCCTCTGAAAATTCTATCCAGACTCTGTATGTGTTACTTCAGACTTAATACCTGTTTTTATGCAACAGTTCAATCGATCTCGGACATACAATGCCACCCGACCCCCCTTCCCGACACTTCTATCTACTTGGAACAATTTAAAACCCTGAATGTGACATTCTGCAGGCATGTCACGACTTTTTGAATTAAACCACGTCTCAGTTATGGCAAATACATCAATGTTACCTGCACTAGCAACTAGTCTCAACTCGTCCATCTTATTCCTAGCACTGCGACTATTTGTGTAATATATATTTGAAGACCCTCCTCTCTCTTTACCCTTCCTGCTCCTTTCTGTTATTCCACTAAACCTATTACTGTCCTTGTCAATTAGTGCCACTGGCTTTCCAATATCCACCTCATTTTGCCTATTACTAGTTCTCCGAGTACTCATATTACTACACTGCGACTTCACAGTTTTCCCGCCAAAACCCATACCACTAACTATTCCTAGTTTAAAGACCTAACAGCTCCCTCCACTGCGTTAGCTAGTGCTCCCACCCCACGCCTAGGTAAGTGAACCCCATCCCTGGCATACATGTCATTTCTGCCATAGAAGAGGTCCCAGTTGTCAATTAATGTTACCGCATTTTCCTTACAGTATTTGTCCAGCCAGCAATTGACACCAATTGCTCTGGGCAACCATTCATTTCCAACTCCTCTCCTTGGCAAAATGCCACATATGACAGGTTTCCACCTTCCTCCTAATTATCTCTATTGCTGACCTATACCTGCTAATCAGGTCCTCACTCCTACGTCTGCAACTCGTTGCCTCAGCACTGAGACAGATAATAGGATTGCTCCCATTACCTCTCATGATGTCATCCAGACGGCCAGCAACATCCTCCATCCCAGCCCCAGGAAAACACACTCTCTGTCTCCTACTCCTATCCTTCAAGCAGAATGCCCTATCCATGTACCTAATCTGGCTATCCCCAACAACAACAATGTTTTTACCTTCCTTGGCGTCGTCCGTCGTGATGCTCCGAGTAGTCGACTCACATTCGTCAGGTAGCATTACACCACTTGTGGAATTCTTTAAGACGTTCTCGATGATCTTCGTTGGGGTTTCTAGGGATGTCTCACTCACGTCTGCCAATGCTTCCTTGGTGCTCGTTGTGGCATTCCCAGTAGAACACTCACATTCGTCAGGTAGCACCGAGAATGAGTTGGAAGTTTCCACGGTAGTCTTCTGGTTTCTCGTTGTTTCTGCCTCTCCAACCGTTTTCTTGATCCTCAGCTTGGTTCCATGTTGCCCGGCCACTGACCAAGCTCCCCTCTTAACCTGGGGACTCACAACAGGAGGATTACTACGAATCCTCTTGTTCTCCTCCGTTAATCGCCGTATCTCCACCTTAGCAACTCTGAGATCTTCTCTCAGCTGCTGGTAAAGCTGCTCAAGAGAGGGCATCCTGGTTGAGATTCACAGAGAGCACACAAACAGGTCTTCACAGAGCTAAGTACACGTCACCACTCATCCCCTGCATGCATCAGCAATGTTTGTGTATATTTCGCCAGCTCTTGCGAATTTCTTGCATTGTTAATATCTCTAGTAAGGCTGATGCATGCAGGAGATGAGATGAAAAGCTGTAAGCCTTCTCCCAGAAAGCTGGCTGCCTTGGATCAAAGTCTAGCGCAAGCTGGACTCCAAGGTATTGGTCCAGTGTGGGTAGATTGGTAAAGCACTGCGTACCTTGTTCCAAGGTTCGTAGGTTCGAGTCTCCTTCAGCCATAGATCAATGTTTGCGTATATATATATATATATATATATATATATATATATATTATATATATATTTTATATATATATATATATTTTATATATATATATATATATATTATTTTTCTCTTGCCCAGTGTTCCTAGAGGATGAGATGAAATAGCTTGTCTCCACCTGCATGGTGGGCTAAATATCCATGGCTAGATATGGTTGGCTAACGAAATCAGTTTCTGGTTTACCTCTTGTAATCAATGCGTACCACCTCCTTCCTTAAGTAGCCAAGCTCATGAGTGTCAGCTTTCACCCCACAGAATGGACTGTTGTCTGCTCTTCCTTATCTCGTTATGTGGATCTTCAGCCTGGTGTATTGCAGCATTGTTGACAGGCTCCTCGCTGCTGGCAAGGTCTCTAACCTGGCCGTCAGAAGGGTCTCCATGAGCATCGGTGAGTGGTGAACTTAACAGAAATATTTGCGGCAATGTTATCTGTCACGTATTGAGCTGATTTTGTGTATATTGCTTTCCTATGCTTTTGTTGTGAGGTTACTGTATGATCTCTGTCTACTGTTGGGATAATGTATGTGAGTATTTGGCCCTATCCTCTCTTGTGGTGAGGTGATAGTGTATTTGAGTAGTCTATTCCTTCAGAGTGGTCGATTTTGTGAATGGTCCTGGCCTGATTCATGGCCTGAGTTACCATATACTCTCTACATTCATTTAACAGTATCATACTGACCACACCCCTACCTTCATTGTTACTGAATACACTCACCTCCACTCGCTCGTACTTATCATATAGAGGACTTGCTTACACTCATTCCTGTCTTATACTCTCAACATATATCTCAGTCTCTCAACGCCACCTTCGTATTTTCTTGGTACCTACATTTTCTCCCGTCCTCAGACTTGTCATCCATTAATTAGTCTGACTTGTCCTGTACTATCCAGCCTCAGACTTAATGAGACACTTGTGCAACATCTGGGTATCTTTATTCTGGAAAAGTTTCTTCAGCTAGATGCTTGTTCAGTCCAATATACAGAACAGTGAAGATAAGAAGGAGTTTAATTAAGGTAACCAGTCCCTCATCCTGGAGTCGATGTGTTCTGATCACCTCATATCTTCATCATCTACCATTCTTTGTGATGAGTAAGACACGTATGCAACAGTTAGGCATCTTTATTCCGAAACGTTTCGCCTACACAGTAGGCTTCCTCAGTCGAGCACAGAATAGTTTAGCAGAAGTAGTAGAGATGTGAATACGATGAAATCAGTCCATCGCCCTTGAAGACGTAGTTTTGAAGTGGTCAGTATGGAAACTTATATATTCCCACAGTATATAAATCTCCATACTGCTGTTTAAACTTTAGGGAGGTGTGAACGACATAATTTTTTTTTTTGGTCCAATTTCTATGAAATTTTTGCTGTGATTTAGGCAGCATTTGAAGCCTACATATTGTGTTCTTAGTGACTATTTGCCTTAAAAGAGAGAAAAAAGTAAATAGTGCCCTATTCTATAGGGCATAAAACTCTCCTTTATCTACAAAACTGGTAAGGCATACAATGATCTAGTTGACATCACATGAAAGATAAGGGATACGTCATCTTGATATCAACATCGTTTGAGCGTAAATGTCAATAGATTGCATAATAAAAGATGTTGAAGTTTATGTTTTTTTTTTAAGGACTTATTTGGGAGAAAATAAAATCAATAATAACACAGTGGTAAAAAATATAGCACATCCCCTGTGCATGGCAGTAGAACAATCATTACTCAATAACTTGTGCAAAAATTATGACACTCCTATCAAGACTTTTCGAAGAAAAAAAAAAAAAAATAATGACAATAACTTATTCCTGAGTTTTACATATATTATGTTTTCTGTAAAACTTTATGGTCATAGCATGCAACATTTCAGCATGTTGCGAACCTCAAATTGTGTTGACAGCCCATGGGTGACTGAGCTGGTATCACTCCCTACACTTGAATGGAGTCCTCGGAGAAGTTGTAATGTAGTGTATTTAGAATGAAACAATCATAAAAATTCTAATTTTTGGTGGAAAAAAAACACGAAATGCCATCATGTCTTTTTGATGACAACAAGAATAAAAAAATTACATGTTTGGAAAAAACATACTTAGAAATATAATGGAAACAAGCTGATTACATCAACATGTTGCCAGAATTATGTACTATTCTTTTGTAAGAAAACATTTTTTTCCATAATTTTTCAATTTTCCTTTTTTATCCCTCCTAAATAACTTGCACCTCCCCTCTCATGTTTCTGACTATGAAGCAAAACTCGTCTCAAGGCTGAGGGATTAGCCACATCAAATCTACGTCTTGAAAGGTGATGGACTGATTACATCGTATTCACATCTCTACTGCTTCTGCTAAACTACTCTGTACTCTTCTGAGGAAACCTACTGTGTAGGCTAAACGTTTTGGAATGAAGATACCTAACTGTTACATATGTGTCCTATCAACTTGTCGGTACTGTGTACCATTTTCATATTCATCGTTCTTTGTATTGGACTTAAGAAGCCACTGGCTGGCAGAACATTTCCAGAGTAAGACATTCAAATGTTACAAAAGTGTCTCATTTATAAATTTGTCGGATTTCCTAAACCATTTATACAGATTTGTCTACCATTACCCATACTCAGACTTGTCCTCCAATACTTAGACTCAGACTTGTGCTTTAATATAGACTGAGACTTGTGGTCCACTTCTCAGAGTCAGACATGACCTTCACCACCCACATTCAGGTGTTGTCTTAGACTAACCAGAATTTGGTTCCAGTATGATCAGCGATATTTTTGTCTGTCTTGAGGAAATAGTGAAGTGTTATTGTGATACCTTGCTAACTGTAATAGTATTTTAGTGTCAAATCTCAATGTGTTAAACGAGGAAGTTCTACTTCTCGTGAAGATAAATAAGAAATTGAAAATTTGCTTGGATTAAGTATAACAATGTGTGTGAGACTGTTCGGGTTAGCAGAAGAAAACAGGTAACCAGAAGTGAGGAAGATGTTGGTAATAGTAACAAGTGAGAAGTGGGGTTACAGTAATGGAAGAAACTTCAAGTTGATGAAGGTTGTATGTGTAGATTTCAGCAAAAGAAATCGTTTTTCTGTTCTCTAGGACGAATATGCTTCTTTGATCAGTGACGATATAGGTACCACTTACTCCTTAACTAACAAAGGTAAAGATATCCTCGTTGCCGGCGACTTACAAATTAGATAAGTGGACCGTGCCTTCTGTAACAGGAATAGAAAGGTGAGACATAGTCAACAGGTTGAGTAATATTATGTTGCAGGAAGTAGTAGTAGTCTATGTTGTAGGAAGTAGTAGTAGTCTATGTTATAGGAAGTAGTAGTAGTCTATGTTGTAGGAAGTAGTAGTAGTCTATGTTGTAGGAAGTAGTAGTAGTCTATGTTGTAGGAAGTAGTAGTAGTCTATGTTGTAGGAAGTAGTAGTAGTCTATGTTGTAGGAAGTAGTAGTAGTCTATGTTGTAGGAAGTAGTAGTAGTAGTGATTGTAGTAGTAATGTTAATATTAGTAGCAGTAGTAGTACTAGTAGTAGTTGTAGTAGTACTACTACTAGTATAGAGTATTAGTAGTATATAGTACTAGTAGTAATAATATTAGTTGTTTTTGCTGTTGTTGTAGTATTAGTACTAGTAGTAGCAGTAGTAGGAGTAGTAGAAGAAGTAGAGTAAGTGAAGGAAACTCTAGGTTGCTACGTGATGGCAGGTTTGTTATTTCGAGTAGAATTCTTGTTAATACATCAGAAGGTATTAGGACGAATATCTTCGGAGGTATTAGCCAGAACTCTAGTCAGAACAATTAATCCAGCTATCACAAAGCAACTTCACTTACAGCACAACTGATACTTCTGCTATTACTACTACTGCTACTACTGTTATTACAACTACTGCTACTACTGCTGTTACTACTACTACTACTAAAGAAGAAAAAGGCACAATTCCGTGACTGGAACAATGCACAAATAATTCACATACAGAAGAGAGGAGCTTATGACTTTGTAAATGGTCCAAGACGGATCGAAACGTCGTCGTAAGCTCCTCCTGTGTTATTTGTGTACAACTACTACTTACTTACAGCAGAAGTATCAGTTGTGCTGTAAGTGAAGTTGCTTTGTGATAGCTGGGTTAATTGTTCTGACTAGAGTTCTGGCTAATACCTCCGAAGATATTCGTCCTAATACCTTCTGATGTATTAACAAGAATTCTACTCGAAATAACAAACCTGCCATCACGTAGCAACCTAGAGTTTCCTTCACTTACTCTACTTCTTCTACTACTCCTACTACTGCTACTACTTACATGAACCAGTAAGCCTACTGCAGTGCTTATGCTCTTTCACCTCACGTGGTGCCTATATATATCCTCTGTCTCCATATATTGTTTATAACGGCGTCGCATATGTTGTACAAGTGTTCTTTTACCTAACACATTACCTTTGTGATCATTATTTACTTTCTGTTAAACTGTAGAAACTGGTCAGCAAGCAACAATAGAGACAGTAGATGAGCTAGGAATAATTGCGTGTGTAGGAAATATAAATATTATTTTATTAATTGAGAAATATTTCAGCCTGAAAAATCAGGACATATCTTGTGAATCCCACTTGCAAGGCTATAATTTATTCGACACTGATCAGGTGGAGTGGTGGTGTAAGTCAGAGATAATTTAAACTGTTGCAGTTGGTGTTAATTGCTGGCTGGATAAACACTCTAAGAAAAATTCAGTAACATTCACAGACAACTGGGACCTCTTTTATGGCAGAAATGATATGTATGTCAGGGATGGGGTGGGAGCACTGGCCACCTCAGTGGAGGGAGCTGTTAGGTCTTTAAGCTAGAAATATATAGTGGTATGTGTTTTTGTGGGAAATCAATGAATTCTCAGTGTAGCGATAGTGTGAGTTTTAAGGAAACGAGTTATAGGCAGAATGAGGTAGAATTATTGGTGAATATTGGAAAGGCAGTGGCACTAGGTGACAGGGAAAGTAACAGGTACAGTGAGGAACAGAAATCAGCAGGAAGAATAAACAGATTGAGGTTTTTTAAATATAAATTATACTAATAGTCGTAATGCAAGAAATATGATGGGCAAATTGAGATTAGTTTCAACTGCAGGTAACGTTGATGTTTTTGCATTAACTGAGACATGGTTTATTATGAAAAATCAGGACATGCCTGCTGAATGTTACATTCAGGGTTTTAAATTGTTCCAAGTAGACGAAAGTATCGGAAAGCGGGTGGGGTGGCACTCTATGTCCGAGATCGTTTAAATTGATGCATAAAAACAGTATAAAATATGAAACACATACTGAGTCTGTTTGGGTAGAATTTTCAGAGGGGCAAGAAAAATTAATTTGAGGCGTGACATACCGTCCCCAAACTTAGATAGGGACCAGGG